TATATCTTCTAGAAATAGAGCCTCGGCAGAAAGACGGAACATACTGTATCTATGCATGTATTTTATAAGATGAAGCAAAATTCACTCTTAACAAAGGTCAAGATTAAATGAACTTCATGGGTATAGAAAGTTATAAACCCATAATGTATGTACACCGGCAGGAATAGTGTCCCACTATGCTTGTGTTGACGCTCACTGACGTCACACTGACCAAGCGAAGCGCGCATGTACGCGAGCCGGGTAGCGGGAGAGAAAGTGGGGATAGAGTAGTGGGAGGCATTCCAATGTTCCGTCCTTCGCGCACGACACAAGAGCGAGAGAGAAAGATCTCTCTCGCTCGGCGCTCGAATGAGAGAGTGCGAGCGAGACAGCTATATTCTGCGCGGGACACTGAGCTATTTCTATACATGCTTCGTGCGCTCTAGAGTCGAGATGCACACTTTTTTTTCTTTCTTTAAGAAATGCGACTTAACCGCGTGAATTAAAGGCCGGCATTCATTCTATTAAATTAAATAATAATTAAATTATATAAAAAGATAAAATTTAATGAAGAATAAATTCTTGGCTACGTGCGCGTGTCGCGTGTGTGCGTATGATATCAGCCGTCCACATATACATACCGGGATACCATTCCTGCCGGTTTATGTACATGCCTCCCACTACTCTACCCCAACTTTCTCTCTCGCTGCCCGGCCCGCGTACATGCGTGTTTCACTTGTGTAAGTGTGACGTCAATAGCGTCAACACAAACATACTGAAATACCATTCCTGCCGGTGCGTGTACATGTAATAATATATATATGCAATAATACATGGTATCCGAAAAATATGTTCTATTTATAAAAATTTTTTTATTTATAACTTTTAAATAAATAAATAAATAAATAACTCCTACTAAACCTTTTGAATGTTACTCAGGGTCATCACCTTGACAATATATATCAAGGTCAAAGTTATCCGAGGTGGTTCCCCTAGGCTAAATAATTATTAATAATAATAATAGTAATGACTATGAATGAATAAAAGAAAGAGAGAATGTGTGTGTGTGTGTGTGTGTGTGTGTGTGTGTGTGTGCGTGTGTATGTATATATTGTTACGTTCCTGGTTTGAGTCGCGGTCGAGTCTGTCTTGAAAGAAGATCTCGTTGTCAAGGAATTTTTGATGATGGTAACAGCCATCATTTGGAGTTTGGAGCCAGCTGTTAAGCTGAGCGGACGCGTTTCGTTATCATGTTCCTTGTTATAATCGTTGTCGTGTGTGTTCTGTGTTCCGCAATAAAATTTCACGTTGTTCTTGAAAAAGTTCTTGAAAAGTGTTTAGTTATTTCACGCGTCCTGCAAGTGCTCAAGAGCATAGAACGCGCATTTTGATATATCCCGAAGTCCCGCCCCGCGGACGCAACATTTTGAGGGCTCGTCCGAGATACGCAGTGATTTTTGCAAGTGCGATGGCAACGTTAGCCACAAAGAAGAGGAGGCGCGAGCAATCCGAGCCGCCGAGAGCAACAGAATCGGCGGCGTCGGAATCGGCAGCGACGGAGTCGACGGCTCTACAGACCGTTTTGCTCGAGATGCGGCGAATACGCGAAAAACAAGCGCGTCGAGAGGAGGAAATCGCCGCAATGTTACGCCGGTACGATGAGGAGTTGCAGCTTCTGCGGGGAAACTGGTCTCAGCCTTCACAACAGCAAGTCTTCCCATTAATAGAGCGCAAATGGAAAATTTAAATTAGGTTTTAAATTAGAATTCGATAATTTTGACGGAAGTGTCCCCTTGCGCGAGTTTCTTACCCAGTTCGATTTGATAGCGCGGGCTAATAATTGAAGCAATTCCCATAAGACGATAGCTTTTTGGGAGCTTGTTTGAGGGGGTAGGCGCGTTCAGTTTTAGATGGAATATTCGAAATTGAGAATTTGAAATTTAAAGATTTGAAGTCGAAATTAGAATTGCGTTTCGGAGAGGGGCATTTAGCTCAGATTTATTATACACAGTTTACTAATAGAAAACAGAGAAATTCAGAAGATTTAGCTTCATTGGGTGCGGATTTGGAAAGATTTTTGCGTCTAGCTTATCCTGAATGTTCTCATGAAGTGAGAGATAAAATTGCTTGCGCGCAGTTTATAGCCGCACTGTCAGACGGATTTCTTAAAAGAACATTACAATTAGAGAATATCACTTCTTTAAAAACTGCTGTAGAAAGAGCGATGGCTGTAAAAGTCGTTCAGGAAAATAGTTTCTCGAAAAATAAATTTGGTCAAAATGACAATAACAATAAATATAACAAATATAACAAATTTAATAAATTCAATAAACAAAAGAATGAGAAAAATATTGAAAATAAAGAAGAAGATAATAAAAAGAGATTTGCAAATGATAAAAATAATAAATTTCAAAGGAATAAATTTGGTCATCAAAGAAAGAATGTTGGCAATGCGGCGCGGAGGGGCGAACTTTCCGGAGGGCGAAGGTTCCGAACTTTCGTTCGGAATGTCCGTCTTTGACGGAAAACAAGAGTTAGTCGAGCTTCATGGGGTAGGTTCGACTAATTTAGCCGACGCCCCAAGAATTGTTAATCAATGTTTTAGAATAAGTAAACTTAAGAAGAGTTTCTTTTGTTATAAGGAATAATTGACGGGCAAACTTGTGCGTTTAAAATAGACACGGGCTCCGATGTTTCAGTTGTGAGTGAGAAATTGATTGGAGGACCAAAGCGACGATTCGAAACAGAAAATTGTTTTTTTTTAAATATCCGACTGGAGAGACCATTTCAGTCAAATATAAAGTCAATGTCGAGATCGGATTAAGGAAGTATCTTTTGAAAATTCCAATGTTAGTTGCAGATATTTCCAATGATTGTATAATAGAGACTGATTTTCTGGAAAAAGTGAAATTAGATAAGGTCATCGAGTCGGAATTTGGAAAATCTGAAAAAGAGGGTGGAAAAGAATTTTCATGTTCCAGAATTTTAGAAAAAAAGTACCCTATTTCTTGTAAATATTTTTCGAAGAAAATTCTAAAAATCTGTCTTCTTCTCAGAGAAATATTTTTGTCGATTTTCTAATAGAATCTCAGAATGTATTCTCGAAAAATTTAGTTGCAGGGAATTGTAAAGTTTTGGAGCATTCTATAAACGTGAATCTTCAATCTCTTCGTTCTAAAATTCGATACGATCAAAGAGCTAGAAAAATTAATTTTGATATTGATCAGAATGTTTGGTTTTATAATCCTCGTAGAGAAAGAGGTAAATCTCCTAAATTACAAAGTAATTGGGAGGGACCCTAAAAGATAGTTAAAAAACTTAGTGACGTTGTCTGGAATTAGGAAATCGAATAAACATAAATGTAAAGTAGTTCACTCTGATAGATTAGCCTCTTTTCATGAACGGCAAAAATTAGATTAAGAGAGTTTTTCGGAGCCCGCTATTCATTTAGAATTATTTTTTTTAAATGTCTACATTTCTGCTGCATGATTCTTTTCAGAAGTTTCATTTGAATTTCACAACAAGGGAGAAAGGAAATGGATAAAGATAAAGAAAGGAGAGAAAAGGATGACTATAACTAGAAGGGATGAAGGCTGCCTCTCCCACGGTTTTTGACTCGTGATTTTCTTGTGAGTCTTCGGGTGAATGCTGAGGCAGGGGCCTGAGGAATTCTCTCGGGAGAACGGAGGGTCTACGGGAAGATATCTCCCCTTTTGTCTGATTTTACTCTTTGGAAGAAATCTTTGAAATCAATGGATTCGTTTGGTCCCAAGAGGATGTGCAGTTCGGTACCTGGAGTAGCAGTCCAGATTACCGAATCCAGAACAAGAAGACACATCGGGAACTATAATTCGACCAGATTCCTGCAGAAACTTGCTATTTTGTGATTGTCGGGACGACAATCTTCCGAAGAGGAGGGTAAGTGTTACGTCCCTGGTTTGAGTCGCGGTCGAGTCTGTTTTGCAAAAGGAAAAAGATCTCGTTGTCAAGGAATTATTGATGGCAGCAGCCGTCATTTGAAGTCTGGAGCTAGCTGTTAAGCTGAGCGGATATATTTACATCGTTATCATGTTCCTTGTTATAATCCGTTGTCGTATGTGTTCTGTGTTCCGCAATAAAGTTTCACAGTTTCAGTTTTGTTCTTAAAAATGTTTAGTTATTTCACGCGTCCCGCGAGTGCTCGATAGCGTAGAACGCGCACTTCGATATATCTCGAAGTCCTCGCCCCGCGGACGCAACAATATATTCGCATGTGAATGTATTTGTGCATATTATCATGTATAGCGATCAGCTGATTGTAACAAGCGCCTCATGTAAGCGCTTGCGTCTAACGGCAAATCGCATTGTTCTTGTCTGTTTCTTGTATTCGATTCATAATAAATTAACTATTTTTTTTTGTAACTGAAAAACTAAGCTTCGAATAAAATTTTTCAAAAGGAAAGTTTCAGATTTAAGTCAGAAATGTGTCTGTTTTAAGACTAATAGATTATTTTAAATAACCCTGTATATATATATATATATATATATATATATATATATATATATATAGGCATATATATATATATATATATATATATATATATATATACAGGCATATATATACATAACATTTACTCAGCTCGATTGTTTGTAAAATAAAAACAAAACTATCAAAGAGAGAATTTTTTTTAAATGCCTTTTATAAAAATCCATAAAAATTTCTTCATTTTAAATACGAAATAAATTTTTGAGAAGTTTAGTTTTCTCATGTTTTTTCAGAGAATAAACTCTATTTATAATTGCGTTGAGATGTAAAATTTTTAATAATTAAGGAATTTTAAATGGCTCTACATGTGAAACACAAATTTAAATTTCGCAGCAAATAAGACAGATGCGGATGATAATTCGTCAAGTTTATCGAAAATTAATATTTTGATAAATTGATTAATATCCATGTAAATCCGTGTTTGGCTCTTATTTGTCGAAATTCAAGTTTGTATAATATTTTTAATAAAAAGAGAATATTGCGTTTCATATCTTACTCTTTCCAAAATTCGAGAAATGCATTCATCTCGATGATTCCTTTCTGGTCACCACCCGCTGCCAAGAAAAGTGGTACTTTCCAGTATAAGGGCAAGTCACAAGCCTAAGTAAAAAAGAAACAGAGTTGATAGAATGATAAAATATTAAAAATAGTCTTGCCGATTTTATAATAATATACAATAGATAGGAATATTAATAGAAGAATATAGAGAGCAAATTCCTTGTACACATTAACTATGTACTCATTAAATGTTCATATTTCTAGTTTTCAAATTATAAACATCGGAAGACATTCCATATTCCGCTGCTTCGAATAAGAAATAAGATCTAAAAATATATAGTTTTATGTAGGTTTTTGACTTTTCATACAAAGCAAGATCTATCACACACTATTCAATATTTCGAATGTAAAACCAAGTTTAAAAATTTACAGTTTCACATAAATTTCCATTTTTTTTGGCAAAGTAACATTCATACCAATCGTTACAGGATGCAAAATAAAAATTTAAAAATATCTACAATTACATTTCCTTTTATTTTCTATATCAAACAATATGCAATAATTAAATTATAGACAAGGCTTAAACAATTAAAGATTCACACAAAAATAAAAATCATATAGAATCAAAATGCGTGTATAAATATGTGCGCAAATCAATATAATTTAAATCCTTTATTTTAATAATCTACCAAAGGTTTCAATCATCATTCTATAATTCTTCTTTATGACATAAAAACATAAATATTTATTAAGAAAATCACGACATAAAATAAACATATATATATATATATATATATATATATATATAAACATATAATAATACATATAAACATATATAAATAGTCAACGTACAAAAATTGTGAAAAAAAAAAAATGTTAAAGAATATAAAAATAAAAATATTAAAGAATGCAAAATTAATAAATTAGAAGATAACAAAGAGCTCAATTTAAAAAAGATAATAAAGAACAATTTGCCATTTTAAATGATAAATCAGTCGAAATTTTGCTGTAACTTCCACATAATTATTTCAAAGTTGCATTGCTCATCCATAATAGTGTAAAAGAGTAATGAATTACAGAATCGTTCAAGAATTACAGAATTACTAAAGTGTAAACTCTCTCGTAAGGATGCATATTTCTTATATACAAGTAGTAAAGACAAAAATATAGTTCCAGTACAAGAATTGAAAATATGAGCAAATAAAAAAATATAATGGAGAACTATAACAAAGCAAACATCAATAATTAAATAGCAAAGTTGACATAAAATTTTTAAATTAGAAATGGCATTTATTCTAATCGAAAGAGAAAAATTTTGTATGTTTATGATTTATGTGATTTATGTGATTTTTTTGATAATTATTTACTTCTGTCTTATTTACTTCATAAGAAAAGGACTACACTGTGGTCGATATTTTTAATTACGTGATAGGAGTGTCAAAATAAAGATTCTGAATTGTTGATTCTAATATACATATGTATATATATATATACAGGGTATCCTGAAACTCATAATCAATTTTTCAAAGACAGATTCCTGGGATCATCCGAAGACGATTTTTCCTCAACGAAAATGTCGAGCCACTAATAATTTTCGAATTATAAGTGATTGGAAATAAGGGGTTTTTCGTAAACTAAGCTTTGTAAAAATAAAATATTAACAAAACCACATTCTTCGATTAATTTTAAATAAAGTTTACTTTAGTTGAGTTTTAATTTAAGGCTTAATTGCAAAGATATATGATGACAAAAATCGGGAACATGCAAAAAATGATGGCCTTCATCGACATTTTTGCTGAGGAAAAATCGTCTCCAAATGATCCCAGGAATCTGTCTTTGAAAGATTGATTATGAGTTTTGGGACACCCTGTATATATATATATATATGTGTGTATATATATATATATATATGTATATATATATATATATGTATATATATATATATATATATATATATATATATATATGACAGCGTTTAGATTTTACATGACTTTTATTTTTGTGTTTTATGAATATGGAATAGATATCGTTTTTAAAAGTTATTATATGAAAATTAAAAACGTAAATAAAATGAAGCTGTGTATATTTTTAATAATTTTAAATATTTTGCATTTGACATAATAGGCAATGTGATCTTATTTTGCGTTAAAAATAAAAAATTTGTCTATTTTTGAACTTCATTTCGTGTCCAAAGCATCCAAATAAGTATAACTAATTTGGATTATACATATATAACTTTGTTAATATTTTCGTAATATATTAGTAATAGTTAAAATCTTATAAATATTGCTCAGAATTATAATTACATATTTTAAGGTCATTGCTTGAAATCGATAGTGAAGTTTGTAAAAAAGAAAAAGGAACAGAGAAAGAAGAAGAGAGAGGAAGAAAATTCATTAATTCTACCGTTTAAAAATTATATTGTTGCATAATATATAAAAACATATACATATATGTATACAATATAAGATTATCATAATTTTGATAGCTTTATAAATAATAGGAATTTTATAGGACAAATTAATAAGTATAAATATATATATATATATATACAGAGTAGATTATTTTAATCATTACACGCGAATATCTCAGAAACACTGCATTAAATAAAAAAATGTTTCAGAGAAAAGTTATATGGTGTGAAAGAGGACATAAGATGGTGCTAATTTGACCTTGAAGAGTCACCTGAAGCTCACGTGAAGGTCACCTCCAACTTTTTAAATAGGACACCCTATATACTTTTACATATTCTTGTAGCTTGCCTGAAGAGCTTTCCAAAACACTATAATAAAATATTTTTTCATTGAATACTTTTCGAGTTATGAGGCTTGAAATAACTTTTTAATTTTACATAAACCGTAAAATATCTTGTAAAATATTCATTTTTCGATTATCTCATCTTAATACATTTATGCACAAAATAATAAGAGCAATCGATTGGTGTAAAGAAAACACATAATTATTTCGGAGAAAAAATATGTAATTTGCAATTAATAATTACATATTTTTTCTAAAAAATAACTATGTTTTTTTTACACCAATCAATTTCTCACATTATTTTGTGCATAAATGTATTAAGGTAAGATAATCGAAAAACGAATATTTTACTAGATATTTTACGGTTTATGTAAAATTAAAAAATTATTTCAAGCTTCATAACTCGAAAAGTATTAAAAAATACTTTATTATAGTGTTTTGGAAAGCTCTTCAGGCAAGCTACAAGAATATGCAAAATGTATATAGGGTGTCCTATTTAAAAAGTTGGAAGTAACCTTCAGGTGACTCTTCAAGATCAAATTAATGGCACCATCTTATGTCCCCCTTCAAGCCATACAACTTTTCTCTGAAACATTTTTCGATTTAATGCAATGTTTCTGAGATATTCGTGTATTGATTAAAATAGTCTACCCTGTATATATACAGGGTATCGCAGACCACCCGTACCACCCGAATATCTCAAAAACTGAGCGCGGCAGATAAAAATATTTCGAACACAAGTTGGAGGACTTAATACAACCTATTTAATGATCATATCAGTTTGACTTTGAATATCACCGTCAAGATCACATAAAAAAACATTTTGAATTTTTTAAACAGAAACCCCCATTTTTTATTGCATATTCTTGTAGCATTCCTCGAGAGCTTTCCAAAACACTATAATTAAGTTAGTTTTCATTAAGTACTTTCCGAGTTATGAGGCTTGAAATCATTTCTTAATTTTACTTAAACTGTAAATTAAATTAACTTTAAATTTTCGCGTACAATTAAAGAATTTTTAGGCATTACCATCCGCTGTGGCTCGGAGACGCTAATTTTCTTATTTTGTTGTTTAATACATAACGAGCCTAATTCCTTTCGATTTAGTTAAACTGTAAAATATTTTGTAAAATATTCATTTTTTGATTATCTTACCTTAATGCTTTTATGTAAAATAATGGGAGGAATCGATTGGTTCAAGAAAACACTTTTAATTTCTTAATTGCAAATTACATTTTTTTTCGAAACAATTATGTGTTTTCTTTACACCAATTGATTTCTCTCATTATTTTGTACATAAAAGTATTAAGGTAAAAATGAAAAATGAATATTTTACAAGATATTTTACGGTTTATGTAAAATTAAGAAATGATTTCAAGCTTCATAACTCGGAAAGTATTTAATGAAAACTAACTTAATTATAGTGTTTTGGAAAGCTTTCAAGATGGACTACAAGAATATGCAAAAGTATATAGAAATAAGGAAGTAGATTGGCTCAAATTAAGAAGGAATGACCTGTATTGTTTTGTGATTGTCGCAATAATTAACAAAAAAATTAAATAAAGAAGATCGGCCAATCTGCGTGAGTAAAAGCGCGCGGCGACGAGAATCGTCCCATTGTAATCTGTTACTACGAGCATGGCGAAGCGGTGGGCGGGTCGCTCTCCGAGACATGATGGTGATTTGCGATATATCGCAATACCGCGCCGAAAAATGACCCGTTCTTTCAGTGGCGAGAAAATGATGCGCTATCATTTCCACACCACCTTGCAGTAGATAGTATGGTGCGCTATTTTTATAGTGGTTTCCCCCATAGGCCTATTCCACTCTCAATTTGAAAATTATTCAACATGCCATTACCATACGCTGAATGTATCTTAAATGTAAAAAAATGATGGTGACAGTACCTTTACAAAGTACTTTTACAAAAATTGATAGTTGAAAATCCCTTGATAAAATGCATTGCACACGTTGATAATGATACGTTGATAAAATGCTACAAGAATCTTTTCTTCATCTCGTACACGAAGACGCACTATTGGACCTGTTATCCCGATATTATGTACGACACCCAGTTTCACATAATTATTGCACAACATGTAAAATTATACGGCGACTTGGTTTTCTTGCACGCCTAGGAAATGATTCCATGTAAATTGCGGCTGCACGATAAGTATTTTCTCCCGCTAGTCCGTATGTCACAATCATATTCGTATATTCCTGCAGAGTATACTTCATTTTCACTGTTAATTTATTACGCGAACACAAGATTTTTATTAAAACGTCTTAGCTCTCGCACGCTGTTGCCAGAATGCATATGCCAGCAGCACATAACTACAGCTGAG